AATCTCTCAAATGTCTCACTTTCTGATGAAGGAAGGCCAATGGTCTTTCTTCAAAACAAACATAAAATTTCTCAGGAATCACTAAAGATCAAAACAGCTTGGGCACGATTCCATGAACTACAAAATCAGGAAGAGGCAAAAGGTGAGTAAAAGAATCTTTCCAAACAAAGGACTGATGGGTGTGAAACTGCAGCTAAACAAACACCTTTTTGATAGACTATTGTGCAGGTTTTGAAGGCCTAGGTAGGATTTTTTTTTTTTTTTTTTAATGTAGGAAGTAGAGAAGAAATGCAAAGGCGCAATTCTTTGGACTGTGGGATATAGAACAGATTAAAGAGGCTGCTTGAGGCAGGGGAAGGTTAAAAACATGAGTACACTAAATCTAATCTTGGGGGGGAAAGAAAAAGGATAAAGAATAAAAGCAACTGACTTAAAGGAGAGAATCTCTGATAAATCCAGGGGAGACAAAGGCTAAGGAAAAAAAGACCACTAACTACTAGTACTTCCTTTAAGACAAAATAAAAATGCATTTTGTACAAACTRGCTAATTAGCAAAGTCTGCACCAACAATTTGAATGAATCAACCAGAATTCAGTTTGAATTATCCAGAGAAACTCTCAGAAATTTGGGAATCGAGATGAGATTTTAAGGGGATGGTAAATTAGAGAAAACCTGAAAAACAGGATGCTATTCCAGCAGATGTTACTAGATAATCCCTTCAGATCCAGATCCCCAGGTATAGCTTTACATGCTTCTATAATTTTTRTTTATACTACCTATATCTGTGGCTTGACTTTTTGAGAAGGGTTTTAGGAAAGGATATAATATCATTAAAAGTCCCACAGCACTCACATGGGAAATGTGTGTATATAAAGACTTTAGGAGCCTTAGAAAAAATCCCATCGTACAAGAAAAATCCACAAAAAACCCCAACTACAACCCCAGTGTCCTTAATAATGAAATGCATATAAAGTCTTTATGTTCCCTTAAAAATGTTTGGGTTTTTAATATGCTTTTTAGTTGTATATTTATATGCACATGCTGTATATATGCATTTAAACAGACACACATATATTGTGCATCTCTAGGGAGGGAGGAAGGGATGGAAGGAAAGGGAGGGTCCTACTTAAATGCAGATTTACAACGTAAACTATAATCTTCACAATTGTGCTAGCCATAAAAAGTACCAGAGGGAAGGAAACAAACAATGTAGACATTGTAGAAAACTGAAATTRCTTCTTCCAAAGTAAACTTATTTAAAACTAACAGTTATTAAATTGAAGGCTTTGTGCCAGTTKCCTTTATTCTAGGAATCTTCAATATTTTCCATTTAGCAAATCCTTATCTATAAGGGCCTGCCAATAACCTCTGCAAAAGCATCCAAGCCTCCACATTCCTAAACTTTATGACAGTTAAAAAGCAATTTTATGAATATTTATGAAGGCAGTAAATTATTAAAATAAATATAGATATTTACACAGTAGAACAACATCTTCATTTAATGGATGTGGAAAAAATGTTAATATGTGAACATTTTAAAGATGAAGTGGCTTGGCCTTCAGGGCTTTTGTTACTCTATTAAAAGTTAATTTAGGACAAAAATTATGGCTTTTTCACGAATTGCAACCCCTAAAGATTAAATCACGATCAAGACACACAACATTTAAAAAAAAATGAATCTGTTAATGGCATTTCCAGAGGCTGGATAGTGAAACCACTGCGCAGCTCTCCCTGAAAAGGCCTCCTCTGGGTTCTTTAATGTGCTCAGAGCAGTGACACACTCAGATGAGCCCTGGGGCACAGGAGTTGGGTGCTGTCGAGGTGGCTTTGGCAATCTTTCTGCCTCCACACATTTTACACTGTCAGAAAATGCTGTCTACAAACACAGTGGGCAACTCAAGGTGCTCTTTCTCAAGGAGGTGYTCTACACCACATGAGTGATTTCCTTAAACACTGGTAATAAACTCCACCATCTTTCACCAGGCACATTTATAGACCCTCCTGGTTCAAGGGCACCAGGAGTCTGCTCTGACATCCTGCGTCTGGCTACTCAACCTCCCCTGTGATCCCAATAACCTGAGTTCCACCAAAACACAAATTTTCCTTCTAGCCAGGACACCAGGAGACAGTCACCTTCAATCTCAACGTGTGGGGAAGCAAGTTAAAATTCTTTTTATGAAGCAAGTAAACTTCTTTTTATGGCTGTTGACTGCAGAGTTTGAGCCTCACTTCTGTTGTGTGATGATGTGGCTGAAGTAACACATTTTCTTCTAGAAAAGGTTCAGATTAAGGGATCTCAGTGTGTGTTTGTGGCTCTGAACCTGTGCCCACTGCCACCACGGCTGCTGCCCCTCACCCTGACCAGAAACCACATCCTGCTCCAGTGGAACAGACACACAACACTCCCAGTGAAACCCGAAAATCAGATCCAATTATAAAAATAACTCCAGGTCAGACTTCTGCAAATCTTGTTCTCACAAAGCRGCTTAAATTTATGAACCTTACAAAATTTAATCAGAATTACTCATGTTTAAGACTAAACTGCATATTTTAACAGCACATTAACTTCAGGCTTTTCTGCATACTACAAATTCCTTCTATATTCCAATTTCAAATTACTTCAAGCTCTGAACTCTTGTTGTTTTCAGTGTGTCCAAAGACATGAGATGGGTCCAGTGTGAAAGACTGAAAATAGAAGCCTCAAATTATTTTCATCCTTTTTCCTCCCCCAATTTTGCACCTTATCCAGTCTCCATAAACTAAAACTCTACTGCGAAAATACCGTCATTTATACAATTATTTTTTCTAAATATTCAAATTTCCAGCACTTGGACTTATTTCTGTAAATTATCCCCTTGAACATGAAGTTCTTTTCTACCAGCACATCCTTTCTCTTAATGTGATGTAAAGACAAAAGAAATGTTGTTCAGTTTTCATGGTGATTTTTTTCCTGCCAGCAGCAGTTTATCATTTCTTTCAGGTTTTTTTCCAACAGACTCAGTATTGAGAAGAACAGTGAATTTGTTTCAAAAAGGAAAATTAAATACACAAAAGGGGAAAATAGAAAAAAAAACACACAGGAAAAACAGCAGTAAAGTGGGAAAGACAAAAAGCAAGGGGGATAAAACTGAAAAATAGAGACATAATTAGAAATTGTTATGAAGATGAAGTCTTGGTGCAGGGTCTATAATAGCAARACTCAAACCCAGAGTGAGATACTTGTACAATATAAAGTAATAATAATGAAAAATTAAAGGAAATTAACACTTGAAAAGTACAAGTTAAATACACAAATTAGAAAGAAAGCCACTAAGCATATATGTATATATAGCCACAGCTCTCTTATGAACGAGTACTGTGTTTTAATGCGATGTAAAACCGAGCACATGGAAGGCAGAGATAAGGAAAATATAGGGAGAGGGAAGGATCTGCTAAAACAGAAATGTGAGACTCTGTAAGTACAGAAACATAAACATTAGTGGGGAAAAAGATCCACAAAGAGTGGATTCAGCAAAGAGATACTGGGCTCGTTTAAACCAGCAGGACTTGCAGTTAAAGGCAATATTTCACAACAAATATTCTTTAGGAAAGGAGAACCTATTTCTGATAACCTTTCTACACCTTTTCTGATTCTTATGAGCAAAGCAAAGCTTACAATTATTCCACTCCCAAAAGACGCAAATTATATTTTTAAAAGGGGTGGTTTACAGCCTCAAGAAAAAGGGCAAACTCTCTACCTGTGTGAGGAGACCAGGGAAAATGGTTTGGGTGGTTGCAATTTCAGCTCAGACCCTGAGCACACATTCAGAGTCAGTCTCGTGATCATGCCACACTTTGATTTGTTCTGAATGTGCAAAACTGATTCTTTTGGAGCTCCAGAAATGTGGCTAATGCACCATTTAATAGCACATATYTGGGACCAGGACACAGGAAAAGCTCCTGAGATGCACCTCATCCTCAGCACCCCTTGCTCTTCCCTGCTCCTTCAGCTTGGTAATTGAGACACAGTGAGTGTTCACAGGAACACAAATTGGTAAAAAGTCCGTCTCACACAGTGCTGTTACAGCAAGCTTTACATCTTCATCAGATCCCTATTTTATGAGCCCTGATTGCTGTTTCATTGGCTTTGTCAGCAGTGAAACGCAGGATCCGATCTATTGCTGGAAATGAAGGGCAACAACCGAGTTCCAGCAATGACAACTGACCTTTCACGGGCCTAATTAAATTGYATCTCAATAATTTAAATAAACAGCTAAAGCTACTCAGTCGAAAATGGCATTTTTATTGAGACAAATCTTATTTCCATAGAAAAAAACACAAAGTGGTTGTTTTCTGAACCTGTGCTGTGGTCCCGGCTGTGCTTTCTATGGCCAACAGAGCAGATCCTGATTCACTTAATTGCAAGAGCTGGAGTCACTGCTCTTTTATAATTGCTTTTGTGATTTGGGAATGAATTGTTTAAGCATTTACCAAAATATTACATTTTCTGTATTTTCTGAAAGTCAAACCAGCGTTTTTGTTTACAAGATATTTTAACAGAAGGTAGTTACTGGACATTTAGAGTTTAATTGTGGTTTATATGTTGAGTCTATTGAGTTTAATGCAAAAATGGATTAGTRAGCTCCTGCTCTTTGCTCTCTCCCAGGGCTGGAGCTGGAGAAGATGGACACACATGCACCCAGGTACACCCTCCCAGACATAATCCTTYGTGCTTTATTATTTCTTTCAGTCATTTCTTTTTTGTCAGAAAGCTTATAATACACTCAGAGAGAAAAAACAGAGCAGAGTACTGGGGCACTGCGAGATATGCAGCAAAATAAACAACTGCAACACATAAAAGGCTCTGCAGAGGGAAGTGGTGAGGACTGAGGAAGAATGTGCATACCAGTAAGCTCTGACTTATTGGGGGAAAATGGGAAACACTTTGGTACCAAATACTTTTGGTATTTTGAAACCGAAAAAGACCCCCGAATGAGTAATTCAACTGATGAGTAACTAACCTTATAAAGCAAAGGGGATTGTCCGAGCTTCAAAAGTGCAATTTTTTTGGTCACGTTTGTCACGGCTCGAACGCGGATCAGATCCTCCACGGTGCCATACTGGACATCAACGAGCTCTGCCTGCAAAGAGGAGACAAAATTCAGGGTGCACCTACAACCACACAGCACTGAGGGTGCTCYTTGCATGGAAATAAAATTGTTTGCAGAAACACCCAAGCAGGGTCCTGCAATTGCCTCACCCCAGCTTCCAATAAGCAATATCTGTAATAGCAAAGACCTTGAAAGTTCAATCTGACTGATAGTCTTTTTGCAGTTTTGATTCACAATTCATCAGCTGTGATAAACACCACCCCCCCCCCCTCTTTTTTTTTTTTTCCTTTTTTCCCCAGTGGTTATAAGTAATGCTGATTCTGATGAGAATTTCCCCTCATTAGCTTCAGGAATTCATTTGAAACTGTGTAAGGGATACTAATTCACTTCTGTTTATTTTCTAAAAAGGAATCAGAGTCTTGTGAAGTATTTCAGGAAATGAGTGATGATGCTGGTAACTTCTGAAAATATAGTTTTATTTTGTGATCTCTCATGACTCCTGAGCAGCCTTACCTAACTATTGAAGGATTTTCTTTTAATCTTTCAATTACCCAARCATTTCACYCAGGTAGCTACAGTGCTAACAGACRATGCTCTGATGTGTACAGTTCTCTATTAATGCATGTTTTCAAATTATTTAGAGACACTTCAAACTAAAAGTGTTTAGAGCATAAAGATCTTCAGCTCTTCAGCTAGGACTCTGCAAGAAAATACAGTACARCTTCTAAGTTATTATTAAATGTCAAGCACTGGCAGTGATGGAAAAATATTTCAAGATGGGTTTTCAAGGATTTTTTAAAAAATATATAATTTAAGAATGACCAAGGGCATTTTTTTCACATATTCACAGCAATAAATCCTGGTGAAAACAAAGTATGAGGATAATCAGCCTTGGATATTACTATTTTAGAATGTTTTAGAAGCTCTCAGGACACCACTGAGGACATCCTGGAACCTCTAAATCCCTAAGCAGTGTTCACATAAAACACAAGTACAAGAAGACACAAGAATATTACATAAGTGTTTAAAAATTAGAGGAGCAGTCTCCAAGAGGAGAAGTTTTCTCTTTCAGTGCAGTTCAGTAACTTAAGTACGGATTCATTGCCAAAGGCAACAGCTCTGATTTTGGGTATCCTCACACAAACTGTTTAAATTCTAGCAGCAGTTGTTCTGGATGTGTAGGATGTGTGAAATTTAAGCAGATTCCTGAACATGGGTATTTTAGGAAAGTATTCACCCTCAAAGGAACATTATCTGTGTGAGTTTGCATCTCAACGTTCAAGCTGAAACCATACAAAAACTTTGCCAAGGTTCCTGTCTTATCAAATGTGTTAGTCTAAATTCTTCAGGTAATTTTCCAAGTCTGTAACATTCATCAGTCCTGCACAAACCAGGTATTTGGAAAGGCCGCCTATAGTTATAAGACACTTTTGAACAAGCAAACATCAGATTTAACACCAAATAATGAAATACAGAACTGAAAAGCTCACACTTCATATTGTTTCTTCTGAAACATATGGGGGTTTTGATATCGAAAGAACTAGGTAGTGCTACATATATTAGCCAATATAATTTTTTTTCCTGTATGACCATAGTATTTAAAAAGTGAAGATTTCATACTAGTGACAGGTATTTTATGCTTTACCTAATCTCACACCTTCACTTAAGGAAAGGGCATTTACCAGGGTACTTCCTTAAGTTCATACGATTTTTACATCTCTCTGTAGATCTCATCTTTATTTTATTTTGTACCTACAATGTATGATTAGATACAATAATCAGGAGTGTCTCAGAAGTGTCTCTTATGGCTTGAGAGGTTACAGGAGATTATGTYTAGGTTAATTTCTAGGGRTGCCTCAATYKAATTCCTTTGGACCCCRKGCCTTTCCTACCTGATCCTCCCAARGCAAAAATCAGAGCATTCACCATTTGTATGAGAGAAAAGCACACTGAATTATTCCTGAGGCAAAATCAATACCCAAATCTGTAAGATAATGAAGTATCAGGCCATTTGCTTCTCCAGGATGCAAACGAGCTCCCTGCCCATCTACATTCATGTGCTGCTTTCCCTTTTGCTCGCTGCTCCTCCAGGGTGCTATCCACTGCTCTGTAAACAACAAAACTACATGTTTGCACAATTATTAATGTGTTTAGCAACTGCCCTTGGATGTTCTTAGCTAATTTATGGATGCAAACTGCATCTCCAAGAGCTGCTCTCTGGTCTTTGCCAGGCAGCACGTGCTCAACAAGAGAGAGGCCCTGAAAAAGCACAGCTCATTTTTTAATTATGTGGAAACCAGGAGTTGGGTCCCTGCTGCCCCAAACATTCTGCAAACCATGTGTTCTTCACTTCAGATTTTAAAAGTAAACCCCAATGCCGAACTTATTAAATGCATTCACATATTTAGAGTACGTGTAGGAAGTCACTGCATAACAAAGGAGAAGTAGATAAAAAATAACAGATTTTCATGTGCTTTCATCACACATCTTCCACATGAAACACAGCTATGRAAGCTCAAAGGTCACCACATTCTGGCCACAGAAAGTCTAACCTATCACCCAGAGGTCTGCACAGCTTGGCTCAGCTCTAACTTCAGCTAAAATGACAAACAAAAAAACTGAATTAAATCTTCTCTTGAGTAAAACTACACATGGCTCATCTCTGGCCAAAGTAAGTCARTAACTCACTGGAAGAGTTTAGAACAAAGTCATAACATTTTGGCAAYACAATCCAGAAAGTAATAGGTACACATTAAATTATGAAAACAGTTGTAAAAAYTATTCTTATCCCTTTCCTTTCCTTTATTCTGCACCTGAACACTTAAGCAAAATTTGTAATAAAAAGCAAAATAGTTTGCAGTCTTAACGACATCTCATCAAATACAGTASAGCAATGCTAACTAAGAGTAGTCAGTTTTGGTTTTATTTAATGGGCTGGGGCTTAACTAATTGGCACCCTTACTGCTACTATAAAATAAAATATTGGAAAAAAATACAACTTCAAAATAACAGTGAAGAATCCTACTGAATCCAGATTTCTACTTTCTTACTAATCCACTCAGAAGCTGACAGACCATTTGTGTTGCATGAAGGCCTGTTTTAGTCACAACATTCCTAATACCTCCAAAAATGAATGCAGATTAAATTTTCTATTATTTTCTTATTCTTTTTTTAGAAACGCTTACAACATGACAATAATCCTCATTTTACACACACCAGCTTTTTGAAAAGCCAAACACCCCACCCCCAACTACCCATATTTGATAAACTGCTTTCCTACGGTGGGATAATTCTGTTCAAAAACAAAAGAGAACTCATCCTTTTATCAGGTGCCGAAAAAAAGAGCACTTGTCTACTCRGTTTAGCTATGGAACAGTAAATCCTCTTACCCTAAAACTGGGAAACTGCTAAAGAATGAGTTGTTTTATCCATCTGAATTAGGTACTTACTCCTCGAATCGTTTCAAGCTATGCTGTTTGAAAGATATGACTATTTAGGAACAAATTGTGATGTGCGTTATGGAGTTCAGTAGAATTCCCCCAAGCATGAAATGAACTAGGGGTARGTTATAAAACAAACATTTTTAGGAAAAGTAATTATTTTATGTTAGACGACTTATTAGTTTCTAAGTCCCGAGATGATGCTCAGTGAGTTGTAARCATTCTATCTTAGAAATTCTAATAGAATCCCCCCAAAACAGCAAAGACAAACACTCTGCAAAATGCCACAATTAAGACAGTCATGGATTTCTATCCTAATTTCTTCTAGTTATCTCAAAAATGAAATGGAATAAAAGAGCGTACTTCATCCAGTCACGGATGACAAAGAGGAAAATGGGTCTTGCAAAGGAAAAATATAAATAACCATATGAAGCAGGTGGCAGCTGGGGTCTTAAAGATGCTGGATACTATTTTTAAACCTTGTTTTTTTGCAAATTCTGAGGTAAGTAAAAAAAATACGATAAATAGGTTGAAAATAACAACGGAAATATGTTTGTCTTATCACATCCTTATCAGTGCACTTGATTGAGGAGAAGATTTAATAACAGTTACACATCTGTTCCCAGGACACTGGCTGAGACTGTGGCTGATTTGCCAGGGGAACATGAGGCAGAGAAAAGGCTCAGAGAAGAAACCACAGAAAGAAAAAATCCAAATGAAAGCACCAACACAAAACTCAAAGGTAGCACACCCAGGAAGAGATGTTCCTCATAACCACCAAAACACAGATGGAGTCGGTGCAGGTAAAAAGCAGCTCCTGAACTGGGGAGCTCAGGGCAGAACATCACACCTAMGTAAATACTTCCAYTGTTATTTATGAAGGGAACTCACYAAGGTCAGTGCTGATCAATCTCAAAGAAATCTGAAAGGTGGCAGGGTGGCAGAAAACAAACCCAAAGCAGCACACGGAAAGGCTGTGGTGAAAAGGCTTCTCTTAATGCTGCCTGTGGGAAGTGCCACAGCTCAGTAACCTCTAAGGATGAACAGATTTTATCAAACACCGAGCTGCTGACCCATATTAACAAATGGATTCTCAAACTGTTGGGGAGGTCGWCTGTGGAAGCTGCAGGTTTGGAAATTACTGATAAGCAGCAGCACAGTGAAGCTCATATCCCTCATATTCTCATATTAATAGTTCCTGCCTACCCACCAACAGGTTTCAGAAATAGATTCCCTAAAGAAACTCCAAGTAGTGAAGAAAACAAAATATTTAATATTAATAAATATTGCTTATTCTGTAGAAATAAGACAATTTCTCCAAAAARCACACATGTAATTCTAGAAGCATCAACCCTGTTCAAACTTACTACAACCCCTCCTTTCATCAGGTCAATGCCCTTCATTTGTCCTTCAACATTCAGCTACTATTTTCAGGTTGCTCACAAAAATAAAGGCAGCAGAAAACATCCAATGCACAATCAATCACAATTAAATAACCTTCAGCCAGTCATCCTGCCTAAAATAAAACTCCAAAATATATTTGCAAATTGTATCTGAGAAGGCACCAGTCTGCAATCAGGACATGAGGCG